TTTGGGGGGGGGGGGGGGGGGGTTTGCTGTTCCATTTTATTTTGTCCAAGATTGCAATCTTGGACAAAATAAATGGAAAACCTAGACCCCCCCTCCCCCCCAAATCAAGGATGTGGAAATGGCTCGTTTTGCCCTTCGCGCGGCTTCATCCTTGATTTGAGGGGGGGGATGGGGGTTTGCTGTTCCATTTTATTTTGTCCAAGATTGCAATCTTGGACAAAACAAATGGAAAACCTAGACCCCCCCCTCCCCCCTAAATCAAGGATGGGAAAATGGCGCGTTTTTGCCCCTCGCGTGGCTTCATCCTTGATTTGGGGATGGGGGTTTGCTGGTCCATTTTATTTTGTCCAAGATTGTAGGTCAAGTTGAGGCATTATCCACATTTTTGGCAAACATTGTAACCGAGATGAAATATCTCCCTACTAAGTCATCGATAAGCAGCCTGAGACAAGGTTTTAAGTATGGTTAACGATGAAATGAGGTGCAAATAATTATAGTTTTCTGTCCCTTGTCATCGCCGGTCCTTCCGGGAAAGAAAACTCAGGAGATTATGTTGGAAACGTTTCCTTTTCATCTAAGCCAAGGTCGTGTTACACAGGAGGTCAATACTCCACATGTACGCGTAGAAGATTCCAAGACCTTTTATTTTTCCTCGCTATATTATGCTCAGACTTCTTTGCAGTTTTTGTTATATTTTATTTGGTAACTTGTGGTGAGTCTTATAAGGCTAATTAAGAATGAGCCTATGATTAAAATGCCTTAACTTTTATCTGAACGCAATCCCAAATATATCAGCCCTGAATTATTTTATTTACAGCTTGAGGAAAACAGCGAGACGAGGCAGAGCGGTATGATTAAAACGGATTAATTTCACTCTGTCCCTCTAGTCTATTTTTTTTGGTTTGTTTTTTTCGTTATATTATTTTTTGTGCCACAAGTGTTCTGACTAAAAATATTTAGGAGTAATATTGATCAGAGGCCTCCTTTTTACAGTTGAAGGTTTTTTGTGGTTTTTACCTTCGAGGCAGATACAACTGTTTTCGAAAAGACTGTTGATGAATGGGCTAAGTCTTGCTTGGACCTTTTTCCGCAATGCGCTTTTTTTTTCTTTTGATCAGTTTTTTAGCCCGGAGAATTCTAGGCATGTACATTATCGATGTCAGTTGACTTACAGACTCTTTATTTCCATGTAATTTACCTATTATTTACAGGACATTCTCCAAATCCAATTTACAATAGATTCCATGTGGTTGACAACGTTTTGTCGAAGTACTTGTTTTATTAGCCCCCATTGTAAAAGTCAAATCCCACCTTGCGGACAATCACCTAATACCGACACCTCGTTATTAATTACGGACCGATTGCTTTGCCCTGAGGGAAAGAAAGCCCTTAAATTTTCTGTAAATTCAACCCGCTTAAAACGGACACTTTCTATGGCCTCGACAGTGACCGTATTGACGGGGTTTCACTGTAGTATTATTACTTTACTACAAGTTTACATAAAATTTACACACAACTTATTTACACCCTATTTACATGATGTGTTCAGCCGTTTACATGAAGTATACCCGCGTTTTATTTACATGTTATTTAGATGGTTCGTAAAATCAATTTACATGCAATTTACACGCAGAAATACTGTAAATTTTCAATTTTCCATTAACCTACCGTACGTGATGATTGAATAAGTGTCCCCTTCAAATAAGCGCCGCCTTCGAATGAGGTCTTGCTTTTGACCTTACTAGATATATGCATTATAATTATAGTACATTTGTGTAATAAATGTAACATTAAAAGTAAAGGCATTAGAGTTTTAACCTATTTGATGACATCACGCGGTCGTGTGGACGTTGTAGAGGTTCGATCACAATAGTTTTCATTCTACGGTTACAGTTTGTGTTTATTTGAAAAAAAGACAAATATCATCTTGCGCAGTGCACCTCGTGGAGGTAGGACGTGTTTTTGTGAGCTCCACCAAATATGCTGTTCTAAACGCTTTAATAACGTACCTGTCATGGAAACCTACAAATAGATATAACCAGAAATGGGGAAGGACAAAGCGGACAAGAATCCGAGCAAAAGGCTGAGAGAAAATGGCTCGCAAACGGATGAAGATGATGAACATGTGGGGGTCGGTGGAGTAATGTCAGCACGCCTCGAGGAAATGAACACTAAACTAGATCAAGTTTTAACAGCGTGTGGTGAAATTGCACTACTAAAAGATGAAATACACAAGCTGAGAGATGAAGTAAAGAATTTAAAACAATCTTTGCAATCTGCCGAGGAAGAAATTGAAAGTCTACAAGAAAGTCAGAAAGAAACTTCTACACAAGTAAAAGAAAACAATGAAGACATTGACTTCTTGTTCGAGGACATTGGAGCGCTAAGACGCAGAAACATCAAGTTGGAAGCCTATACAAGACGTGAGAATGTAAGAATTTTCAATGTCGGGGAAGAAGAGGATGAAAATACTGAAGAGCTGGTAAGAAGTGTCTTCGTCGCTAATTTGAAAATTCCGGCGGATAAAGTCAACGATATCCGCTTTGAGCGAGTTCACCGAATCTCCACTAATAATTCTAGTCTAAGAGCTCCGTCCTATCCCAAACCAATTATTGCTCGTTTCAGTCATTATCAGGACAAAGAATATGTTCGCTCCTTCTATAAGAACTTAAAAGGAACCAACATCGGTTTCTCAGATGATTTCCCGAAAGAAATTGAAGAAATTCATAGAAAACTTTATCCAGTGCTTAAAAAGGCCAAGCAGGATAAGCAAAAAGCCTTCTTTAATTTTGATAAATTGATAATCAATGGCCAAATATACAGAGGAAAAGAAACTAAAGACCTTCCCTATTATTGTAAAATGGCAAAAAATTATTAATGTATTAAT